CACAAGCAATTCAGCAGCAGGTGAGCTTGTTATATTTCATTCTGGCAGGACCAGAATGAACATACTTTCTTGAGATTAAAAAAAAAATTAATGCCATTTTTATTTATAAAAGGATTCTGAGAAAAGCTTGAAGCACTTGGCAGATTTTAACCTAATTAATCCTCACAATAAACTCTGGAGTGAGTTTATACAAAGGCCTATTGTTTAAAGTCACCAACGGTTAGATGCCATGACCAGTTACTTTGTATGCAGTTGCTTCTTGTCCAGGTTTAATTCATGAATGTTATAAAAGAGGTGGAATAACTATGAACTCTTAGTGAGTTAATATTCACTAATCATCATGAGGAGCACTGAGCTCACCCCTAAAACTCACCTTTTTGTTTGTTCTTGTTATTTCTTTTGCTTTTGCTTTTTTGTTTGGTTTCGTTTTGGTTTTTGGTTTTTGTTGTTGTTGTTTGTTGTTGTTGTTGTTGTTGTTTTGAGACAGGATCCTGATTCATAGTCCAGGATGGGATGACCTCAAACTCATGGCAATCCTTCTGCCTCAATCTTCCCTGTGCTAAGACTACAGGAATGAGAGGCAGCCACACCAGGCTTTGAAATTTTTCTTAGGAATGGCTTTCCATGCTTGATTTTTAAACAACTAGTTAGCCATTTATGTAAGATGGGATGGATGCCCTATGATTAAAATATTTTTCATGACTCAATCCATAAGTATTTCCAGGGCTCCTTCTATAAGTGTGGTGTTAGGTATTATGGATACAAAGGCAGTTTAGGCTAGGTTCTTGACAATCAGCATTGTACATACCCTTGCCTTCTGATTTAATTCTGGTGCCTTACTCTCTAACCTCCCTGTAGTAAAGTATCGGGCTATCTATTTTGATCCTACAGTGTCCCTATAAAGTGGGTAGGACAAATGTCATTCCCTACCTTTCACAGACAAGAAACTAGCTCAGCAATAGTGTGCAGCTAGGGGGTCACAAAGAATGGGGAACAAAATTACAAGCTGCACCTGATCTTCCAGGTTCCCAGGTTGCTTTTATCTGTGATGAAGCACTCTCTCTTCTACCTTCATCTTCAAACGTCCAGCCCAGCTGCTACCTTCCAGACCTCACAGTGAGATGTTTACACCCTTAACCCCCATCTTACTATTTATTCCTCTAAACACTACTGCAGCAAGATTAGAGAGATCCTTAGCGATAATTGCTTGAAAACTGTTGGAAAACAGAACCAAAGGTGTTAAGTAATGAACTCAACTGCCTACAGATCTGGCTTACAGGTAGATTTGCCTGACTGGGCAGATGCCCTGCAGTTAGTGATCCTCCTGTATCTCAAAGCCATCCTAGGAGGAGCCTTTCCTATAGGTGGACAATTCTTTTGTATATCTTGGGACCTTCCTGCTTCCTCCTTTGGGGAGGATTCAAATTGAAACTGTCCATTCTGTTATCAGAACATCCCCCCAAAGAAAGCACTAGCTTACTAGCTGTGTGTCACATCATTATCACTGTTCATCCAACAGTTTCCATGTCCTGAAAAGGAGAACACAGTCCAACACATCCTATGGGAATCTCCCGTGGCCACGCACTCTGCGAAGAGAAAGGCATTCTAGAATCTTCAGTATTTAACCTGTTGACTAAGTGGCCTCTCTGTTTCAATTTTTAAAAACTTTCCCACAACCCCAACTTATTTCCAAGGAGGAAGTTTCCCAGGATGTAGAGAGGTATATTGCTCTCTATGAAATAAGGGTCTCTGCACACTTCCAGGCCTCTAGATGCTTTTCTTCAGGTGGTTCCATTTGTTCACAGAAAAAAATAATAAGGAAGACTGCACAGAAATTATTGAGTTTGAGCGCTGAAATTGCATGCAATTGAGTTCTTGCTCAAGACACTTGGCAATCTGAGACTGTGTCTTTGCCTGTGTGGAAACAGTAGCAATCAATGATTGAGCACTTATCACATGCTAGAAAATGTGTGTCTTTTTTGACATGCTTTCATAGGACTTTGCCATAGTCCCATAGTAGGTACTATAATCATCTACATTTGATAGGCAAGTGTAAAGAGGTCAGTTTGCCAGGGTGGAGAATGGTGAAGCCAGGATTCAAAGATAAGCAATGTGACTCCAAAACCCATGTTTATAATCACTACCTTCTTCCTTACAATGTTTAATATCTAACTGAATTAATATGTCAGTCTCCGCATAGCACCTGGCACAGAAACAAGTCCTAAGTAAATGTTAGCTGTTTTATAATGTTTAGCTTTGTTACTAAGAGACACCTGGGCCAGAAAATAGATTTTGACGTAGATTTATGTCTGTCTCAGCTTTGTTTCTTTCAGCTGTATTGGCAAAGTCTCTGGAGTTACCTAAACAATCTACATATTAAGGGCTACCTGATCAAAAGGTAAGCTAAATGGTTGGTGAAATTTCTTATGTGTTACAAAAAAAAGAAGTATCCAGCCTGGAAAAAAGCATAAAGCCCCATATAAAAGAATGCATACAAAAAAAAAAAAAAGGAACGCATACTGAGCAACCACTAGCAGAATCATAGGCCTTGCTGCTAAGTTAGTCATCTTTCAACAGTTTGTCTATTATTATAAACACCAAACACAGAGAAATAAGGTAGTAAGTATGGTTATATTCCATGCCTATTGACAGAAGTCTATCCAGCCCATTTGAAAGCATGATGATATAAGTCATGCTATTAGTACCAGGACCAGTGTAGGAACAAGATCTCGTGTGATGTAAGAAGAAAAAAAAGGAAAAATAGGAGTATTTCCAGGTTTTGGAGAAATTTGAAATATACTGTATTCTCTATCGCTGTAAAAGTATTATCCCTCCAAAAAAATAAAAAAAAAATATTATCCCAAAATGTATCCTAAAATAGCAGACATTCATGCAGTCTCTGTATCATCTGCAAGTGGTCTAGCTGGGTAGTTCTGGTCCAGGATGGCTCACGAGGCTTCAGTTGTCCATGGTGAAGGCATCCAAAAGGTTTACTAGGGCTGAAGGGTCCACTCCTAATGGTTCACTCCCATGGCAGTTGGTGGGGCTAAGCTCCTTCTCTCATAGGCCTTTCTACGGTGCCGGGTAAGTTCCTCTTGATGTGGTAGCTGTCGCCTCACAGTGCAAGAGATCCAAGAGTGAAATAAGGAAGCAGCTGCAATGCCTTTTATGACCTAGTCTGTAAGTCACAGTCACTTATGCCATGTTCTATTCATTACAAGTCATATACCGTTACTAAGTGCAGTCCACAAGCAATGGGAGGGGGATTTAACTGTATCTCCTGAGGCGTGGGGTTGTCACAGAACTTACAGACATAGCTTAGAATCACCACACAGTGTTTGTAGTCATGTCGTCACTTTCTCCAGATTCCATTGAGACAAGAGTAAAAACAAAACAGGATCCGTAACTGGAGCCCTCCTCAATACACCTTGCAGTAAATGTCCCCGTACAACTTATGCTTTATTTCAACTATTCTTGAAACATCCACATTCCTCCGTCCCCGAGGTTATATTCAAGAGACTCTGATGACACTCCTGAAATACTGCAGGCAGTAAAACGGGACATTAAAAACAACAGAACAACCTACTCCTAAGATAATTGGAGCAGAGGAAAATAATTCCCAGTAAGCTCACTTTCTCTCTCTCTCTCTCTCTCTCTCTCTCTCTCTCTCTCTCTCCAGAGTGTTTATTGAAATTCTGGGTAATAGTCTTCCAGTCCTGATTTAGGGACCATAGAGTGTCTAATTCAGGTTGCCTAACTTGCTGTCATGACTGGAGCTCTGAGGGAAATGTGTGGAAACTTAGAAATGAGGGATCATCCTGGATATCAAAACAGCCAAGTGCCCTCATATGTGATCTGAAGGTGTCAACAGGAACCAATTCGGACTTGCAATTTGGTAGGATATGAAGACTGTTTTAAAAATACAGTCTTTGTAATCACCAGGAAAGTGGGAGCTGGCAGGACACCACAGGCTGTAGCTCAGTAGGTAGAGCACTTGCCTAAAAACGCATGAGACCCTGGATTAGATACCAGGAATCTCAAAGGAAAAAAAAAAAAAGAAGAAGAAGAACAGTACAATCCAGGTATTTACACATTAAAATGAATTTTTCTGACTGTTATCTTTAATCTTGTGTCTTGAGGGTATTTGAGAATGTGATAAAAGATAAGGAAAATAAGCTCACAATTTTGCACAAGAAGCATAGCCATGAACATCCCAGAAGGCAAACGTTTGCTGAGAGACAGTAAACACAACGCAAGCCATAGAACTACTGACCATCATAGTCTTGTCCTAGCCACTTGACCAAGCTAAGCCGCCAATTTTGCCAGTTGAGCAAAAGAAAACCTACCAAGGTTCCCACTTAGTAAGAAAGACTAGATGACATTTTCTACCGGTCATCCATAACCAAGATCGGACCCCACATTCCCAAGACCCATCTTCAGTGGAGGGAATTTCGAGCAGTGACACCCAGCCCGGAGGGGCCTTTAGGCTGCACACCCGAGGGTTCGGAGCGCACGGGACCCGGGAGGCGAAGGGGCGGGGCTGGGAGGAGCGGGGGCGGGGGGCGACGCG